TAAGTAAGTAGGTAAGTAGGTAAATAAGTAAGTAGGTAAGTAAGTAAGTAAGTAGGTAAGTAAGTAAGTAGGTAGGTAAGTAAGTAAGTAGGTAAGTAAGTAGGTAAGTAAGTAAGTAGGTAAGTAAGTAGGTAAATAAATAAGTAAGTAAGTAGGTAAGTAATAATAGTTAAGAACACCCAATCAAGAAGACACACATGACAAACATGGGCGGACAGGTCATGCAAAGATGAGGAAAAAACAAAACATCATATTATATCAACAATGTGACACACTGTGGTGTTTATAAAAAAAAACCCCTCTGCATAGAGCACATTTATTAGCCAGAGGAGTGAGTTTTAAACACAGAATAATCAAACTGTAAGTTTGAGTTCAAATGTCAGGTCTGTTCTTTTTTTTACGAAGGAGATGTCTGCACCCGGGCGGAGCGGCGCTCTGTCAGTGTCTCCCTCYGACTACCTGCTGGATATCAACAAAGTTCTGCTCTCCATGGCCGACAACGAGCTGCTGCTGAACTCCTCGGAGCTCAGCGGGGGCCTTTATGAAGACTTTTCCAGCCAGGAGGACACACTGAGGGTGGGACTGTTCACTGCCCATCACCTGCTAAATCACAACTTGATTTATTGTGGAAATTCTATTTGATTTTTTTTTGCCTTTTTTGCGTCAATGTTTTAAAATGTTACACAAGGATTTAAAAAGAAAAGAATGTTGCTCATATTTGTTTTCCTCAACCAGAGTATCAAAGAGAGTCTGGAGCATTTGGGCGAGCAGATCACAGGGATCCATGAACGYCAGCCTGAAGCCATCAGAGACGCTTCCCCTGCAGAGGTGGCCCAAATGGGGGACGCCCTCACGCAGCTCAACGCAGAGTGGGACCGCCTGAATCGCATGTACAATCAACGCAAAGGGTATGTACCCTACCCTCATAGACGCTGATGTTGGGAGATCAGTCAAGCAAGCTGTTGTTTCCAGATCATAAATGCATTTAAATCTGAGTCGGGGCGTTTGTTTGACACTGCCGGGGGGGAAGAACGCCAGCTGTCCATTTCTCAGGAGACAGCAGATAGGATGAAAGGCACTCATCGACCTTGGTTAATGTCGGAGCAGTTCCTTTTAGGCATAAACAATCCCAGGCCTATTCACATATTCATTTTGAAACGTAAACACACAGGCGATGGGTGACGTTGGCCTCCATCAACACAGTTTGTTGGGCGTAAGCAGTGTTTGTGTGCCGAGTGCAGGGGGAGCAGGTACGAGCGTAAACTGGGGAGGAATTTTTCTTTGTTTTCATTTGTCTTCACAGCAACCTCTGAGCGTCAATATAAGGAATAAATAGAGCCCATCTTTTTTCGATTTTATTTTTGGTATTTTTTTTTTATTGAAGTACTGAGTTGTTTTTTATTTTGCTGCAACTTTATGACCGTTATTGTGTTCCCAGGGATTCGTGATTGTTGTGGATATGTTTTGTTTTCTTATCAGTAAATTTAAATAGTTTGAGCTACGGGCAGAAATATGGTTTTTACAAACCTTATGCTGCAAACAAAAAACAACATAAAAGTAGTAAATAAAAGTAGTAAAATAAAAAAGAGGAGGATTAAATAGTTAAAATTAAACTAAAAGCTGTTCAATTTTATCAACATGAAAACCTAAACTTAAATGTTTCAAGTAGGTTGTCCTTCCAATGCATTTACATTATTA